AGTAGGTAAGATTGTATAATGATCCCAAACCCAACTTCTTTTCTTTGAACCTCCTCTTTTTTTAAATTGATTATTGTTCACCACATCCATTGCATTTGTATTATCCATATTATCTACTGCATTCATATTATCTACTGCATCCGTATTATCTACAGCATCCGTATCATCTACTGCATATATATCATTCATCACATGTGTAATATTATTATTCACACAACTCAGAGAAATTTCACTTGAGGTTTCACTTGAGGTTTCACTAGGTAAATAATCTTCACTATCCATTATTATGATATTACAATTATAAATAAGTTATGTAAAAAATTTATGCATTTAAAATACGAATTTATAAAAAAGAATTCTTTATTCATTGTTACGTATAAAAATATATCATTTATTCATGCCAAAATATTAATACGTCATCATTACTAATCGAAGTATTAGATAGTTTAATAGATATTTTAAAAAAATTCTCTAATCAAAGTTATATGTTACGTATAAAATATATTATTTATTCATGCATCATTATTATTAATTGAAGTATCGGATAGTAACGGATAGTTTAATAGATATCCAACTATCTGCAGAAATATTTTTGTTATCCGATATGAACGGATATCTAATTGAAAATCCGCTGAAATTTTTTGAACGGATCCAATCACTAAATTATACAATTATTTAATGTTATTATGTTAAAAATTAAACAAAATTTATTTAAATATATACTAATTTTATACAAAAATCATATAAATTATTGTTCAATAAATTGTCCAACAAATCGACTCCATTTTGAACATTTTTTTGAACAAAAATTAGACAAAAACTAAACTTAAATGAAATAAAAATTGAAAATACCATTAAACAATTTTAGAACAATTTTAAAATATTTATTTGATGAATTTTTTTTATAGGGATAGGGTGTATAAGAAAAAGGTTAGCAATAATATTAGGCAGAAGAAGCGGGAAAAAAAGCTTAGCCAATTGCATGTGCTTTCCCAGGACTCATCCCCAACTACTTCTGAATCATTTCACCATGAAGTAGACCTCTTCATGACTAACACTAAACACGCTCTCCCAGAACAGGTAGTCATGGGTTCCAATCTTTTGCCCGACACTCATTTGCCCGACAATAACTTTCCTAACAACTATTTTCCCAACAATCATCTGCCCGATACTTTCGTCTGCCTAACACTTTATTTGCCTGACACTTTCATCTGCCTGACAAATTTATCTTTCCGACAATAACCTTCCCGACAATCATCTGCCCAACACTTTTATTTGCCCGACACTTTTGTTTGCCCGACACTTTCATCTGCCTGACAAATTTATCTTCCCAACACTTTCATTTGCCCGACACTTTTGTTTG